GTATGCTGTTTCAGATCTCCGTCATGGAAAGCGCCGAACGCTCGCTCCCGTCTTCCACTACATTCCCCATGGTTTTCCCACAGAGCAGTGTAATCCGGTCCAAATTGTTACTTTCTCATGGACACTACCCTTATTTAACTCACGATTTCGTTTTTGGTACCTCGAGAGGAACGGCACTTTCGGGGCGGATACCGCGTCGCCGATCAAGAGAAAACTCGATCGGATTCCCGTAACGGTTTCTCTGGGAAGTCCACGGACACTTTTCCCGAGTCATCTCTCCCATCGAGCCCAATTGCGAATCTCACGCGGAATTCTCGCTTGTTCCGTATTCGAAAGTCGTTCTTCAGCAACAAGATTTCGCCGAAAGTTTGCTCTCGGACGAAGTCGCAAGTTAGCTCAGTTGGTATCGACACTCACCATTGATTCGTAGGGAAGACACAGACGTCAAACCGCAGCACAAAACGTACAACAAAACATATATGACAACGTGCAGAACTCGAAGATTCATCGTTTTCACGTTTTCACGTTTATCAGCTCTCGGCAGTTGTCATGCCTCCCGTGGATCGTCGTATCCTCTTGGCCACCTCCTCCGGGTCGTTGTATCCTGTGAGCGAACCTCCTGATTGCCCCTTTATCGGCGGCAAGCTGAGGCGGCGAGAGTGGTCACAAGAGCTCAAAGAGCCTGTTATTTAGTCCGCTAAAGCGTGCGTCAGTCAGTCAGTCGGCAAACCGCTGAGGCAGGTGGGCAAGACCAAGAGTTAGCAACCGACAGTTCCCGGCCGCGTAACCGAAGTGAAAGATCTTCTGAAGAAGAACCCAGCCAGAAGGAGGTCTTCGGGGAGAGGGCAGCCGGCCAGGCTGCCAGTCAGCTTGCCAGCCGGCTTGCTGAATGCTGGCTGCTTGGCAAACATCTTCGGCATTTGATCCGAATCTACAGCAGTAGTGTGGCGCACGACTCGCCTGAGCTGAGGACCGTCGCGAATCCCATACTGTCGTATCCTTTCCATAAATCGGGAGAGTACTTCGAGTGCCCGGGGGACGAACGTAAAAAAATCACATATCATAATCCCTTTGGCGGAACTGAAGAGCTACTTGAGCCTTGCGTTCGGTTTCGAAGAGAATTTTCTGCGTAGAACTCGTGTGGAGAAACGTATGCGAAGGCGCGGCATCCGAGGCTCTTCCATCAGTTCTTCCGATCAATCAGCGAGTGTTGCTGTGACCGAGGATCTCGAGTCATAGCGAGAGCAGGTGACGGACGCCGGGTTCCTCGATACGTTCCATACATACGTGACGTTTTTCAGGCTCGGTTGCGAGCTCAACTATAGCATCTTCAGTCCGGGGCTCGCCTGGTTAGCTCCGTGCGATTTCCTGTCCACAGGATGCCCTATTCCACGCGAGAGTTCCTCTTGGGTGCTAACTCGCGTGGTCGATTTGTGCGCGTCAGAGATAGCGGAATGCGACACTGAGTTCAGCGTTGCAGAACATGATGGACGCCGGAAGCTCGGCTGAAGACGATAAACGGAACGACGGAACTGATTAACATCGTTACGGGAGCGAAGTCAGCTAGCGAAAATAATACCACAAAATCTATCCCGCCAAATAGAATCGCTGACCACCGGAGCCATTGCTCGATGGTCGCAATAGTGCGAGTCACGCAGATCCCTGGGGCAGCGGTTCTATCCGGACAATGAGAGACGTTGGCAGTCATCTTCTATCAGTCGATCAGACGTAAGATGTTTCCTACTGAAGACACTTTCGATTTGGTCGTTGAGACATTCGGCCGATCATTCGGAAGTCTCGCTATGATTCTGAGCGGAGATTCCGCTAAGATCCGAAGGAAATTTTAAGCGAGTCCAATCTGAAGTACCTATGTCAGCAGAATTCTCCAACGAGGCAAAAATTCGCATTGATGATGATTAGATCGACAGGGTCTCGGATTTCCGATCTTTGCCTCGTCTTTCCGTCGCTAAAAGGTTAGAGAGAATGGACGACAGTCGTCCGGAGCATTCCCTTCCCGAGTTCGCAGATTGAAAAGTTGTGCCACAGGGATTGAGCCCTCAGTCCAGACGCTGAACGATCGTTTTGAATAATGGCTCCCTTCGTATTTTGGAACGATCGGAATGGAGCAGCGGGGAATAAAACAGCGACTTTCCCGCTCGAGAGTTTCCATCACCGCGATGTTGCTCGAGTCTGATATAGAACTCCAGAAGAGCCAATCCGAATTCTAAGGTTCACACCATCATCAGTATTCATCGGCTGGTATCCTTCATGACATGTATTGTAGTTCAGTTTTATTACGGCGAGGGGTTTTAAACGAGCAAAAACGGGAGCTCGCTGGGGTGAGGTTCTGATGTCGAATTTCTCAGGCGATCCGCGTGGCTTGCCCACTATTTCCAGACAAGTGTTTTCGGGAGTTTCGCTGCGAATGCACCACTCGAGCTCACCAATCTCGACTCCCTTTTAGGAGAACCGAGATTTCGCGACCGTCATGAGCGGATCCGTGAAGATGTGTCTTTCGATTCCCCACCGGGAATCCATCTGCTTTTGTGGAACGAGTGGCTCCCCCTCGCGGCAGTTCTCCATACTAGATTCGAAATGATATCGCCGTCGCGTTTTCGAGGATCGCATGTCGAGTTTCGCTCACTACTCCCAGCAGCGGAACGAGTCGCGATCTCCTGACCACGACGACTTGAGAATCCTAAAATATGGATGCTAAGACGACCACTAATAAAAACTCATTAGATATTGCTGAGCATCGGACTCCTGCTCGATGTCAACGAGGGATTCCGACGAGGTCAGTCTCGGGGTCCCATCAACCTGGACGAGGCTGGAATTGAAGCCGGAACGGAGTCCCGATCTGATATAGTGACGAGGGACCCTCTCTGTGAACGCTGAAATATCTTACCAAACTCTTTCTCCATCTGACGGAACGGTACAAGGAAGTGGCCCTTTGCATTCTGACAGGAAATCCGCTGAGATTCTGACAGACATCTTCATACGACTCCTGGAATCGCGGAGGCCGGCGGTGATTTCAGTCTCTCCGGGTGGATGTTTGAAAAATCAAAAGGTGACTCGTGGCAGAAGGAGATGCTGCTCGATCCAACGGGGATTATCGAGCGCGAGAATCCGCCCCGTAGACGGAGCCATCTCTATCACGAATTGATCTGATTAATATTCTACGCTGCTCGTGTCTGCCTACCACCTCGGGCGACACAGGGTCGTCGGAGGAATAATTGTCCACGTTTCTTGGAGGATGGCTGCTCGCCCCAGGGTCTGAAACTCTCCCGTAGAGACCCTTCCTCACCGGGGACCATGGGAAAGGAGAGACAAAAGAAAAGGCCACAGCTCGGCTTCATGGAACGAAAGTCCAGTTCTTTCTTTCTTTATCTTTACAAGTTCGTGATTTCTCCCTGGTTAGATCTCGTATTAACAAAAGTCCTCGTTGATTCTTCGCTGAAGTTGACGAAATCGGATACTCATTATCTTTCAAAAGATGGCTGCGCTCGGCGAAATAAATAACATATCGTTTCCGCTGTCAATGGAATCCATGGTCTCCTCCGTTTCCTGTAGACACGGAAGCGCATCGTCTACGTAAGACACTTAATATCCTGAACCGTGACCACGACGAATCTCTCCCACAACCGTAGCCGCTCTTGAAGGAGTAAGATCAATTTCGGAGTTCCTCCCAACGGCCTACCTTGTCGTGAGGTCCCTGCCGACTCCGATTGAATCGCCGGTACGACTTAATATACTTCGTCCTTCAGCATGATCATACCGATCATACCTCTTAGAATTTCCACGCTCCACCTCCGACTGTTAATTTGAGATTCCCACAGCAGCGGAGGAACTGATCCGCAAAAAGTAAATTCGAGACTGCCGGCCGTGAAATCCAAGTCCGTCCCGCAGGCATCGAGTCGGGCGCAGAGCGTTTATGTACAGGATCACACATCGGTAACCGACATTCCGGTTCCTGGTCCTTGCCGTGGTTTCCTTACCCGATTCCATGATTATACATAATATATTTACCGCCAGGTGATGGAAACGCCGTGCGGGGTTATCATCATCAATCAACGATCACTAATAGATATTCAACATTGTACTGCCCGTGAAGTCCGCTGTTACTCCTCGCGACAAATAAATACTTCCTCTGAACTGACGAGATGTTCGGCACTCCGCTCCGAGTGCGGCCGGCACTCCGCTCGGGAAGGCTCCGACAGGCGTCGTTTCCGTCTGCAGAGAGATACAGCTCCCGGCCTCGACCCCGCCGAGATACATTAGCTCTCGGGGATCCGTTTACGGGCTCTTTACCTCGCCGGTGCTGTCCGGTCCCTTCGTCTCTGGCTCAATGGCCCAATCCTCTCGAGAGGCTGCCCAGGACTCATCCGAGGAACAAGCATTTCCGATGAATTTGGAGCTTCGCTGAATGCGCGTCCTAACATTCCGATTGAAATGCGATTTCGAGCGGACCGGACGCAGAGCCGAAGTTCCAGAACGAAAGGATCTACCCTTCGGAGAAACAGATGAAACTCTCACTGTATGTGTCTGTCTTCGCCATATAAATGTATGACGAAGAAGAAACGACACGAGAGAGTGGAAAAAGTGTTGGAGTCATTGTGAGTAATGATATCTCCTTGTAGAAACATTACATCGACGGTTCATCATAATAATCGTGATTCGTCAGACCAATCGAACAGGCGAATCAGAGAAATCATCCATTCGAATTCCGAGGTCCTCCCGGATCCTCGAAATCAATTGGAGAATATTCGCAATCGTTTCCGCTCTCTTGCCCCGGCCCTGTCGTCCCTCCGCTCGACTATGCCCGACTCGATTCATAGCATTAAATAAGGTGCGGGGATGCAGCCCCGAATGGGCGCCCGTCTGAGGATCTATACTCACTGACTATGTATAATATGCGAGTTTGGATATTATTCATGAATGTAGCTCGATAACGCGCTCGCCGCTTCGAGCGAGATTTTAGGATTGAGGAGGAACTGGAGAATTTACACCCTGGGACACTGGTGTGTGTGCACGCATCGGTTGTCTAGCCACACAGCGCCGTTTTGGCATTCGCATCCTGGTATACATTTCTTGCTACACTGCGCAGTTTTATAATTTTTGCATGTTTTTCTACAGACGCCTCCACACGAGGTCCACAAAGCTCCGGTTGGACACCAATGACTACCACAGCTTTCTTCAGCCAACCAATTGTTGATCTCGACTCCGTAGCGCTTACAATGCCGGACGTAAGCGCCGAACTCATCACAGAAGCAACGACCGTTTTCCTCACAACGGCACATATCAACTAAACAGGACCTGGAATCGGAAAGAAAAACGTAAGCGGTTAGTACTATTCGTCGAACGCGTGCCCACGACCACAGCAAGCCCCGGAACTGCTCGGTCTGGGAGTTCCCTGCTCGCAGCTACTCGTGGAAGTGCTCCGAGAAGAATCGAATTCGGAAAGGAGTTTCTCCTGGGAATCTCGGCTCCCGAGTCTTTGGCCGTCGGAAGTGTCTTGGCAAGCAGGACCCTGATCCGAATTGCAAAGCTCCGTCTGGAGCACCCACCCAGTGAGTCACTGATCATGATGAGTGAAACCAAGCCGCGGACAAGTCAAGAAGGGAAGAATAAGGCTCTTTCGCAGACTGACGTGAGTATCACAGCAGACTGATTTAGATAGCTCGCATGAAATGGGCAGCAAATGAAGCGAATCGACGCCGACCAACTTCCTCGGACGAAGGGAGCGCCAGCCAGGCCAGTTGTGGAGCTTGTTGTTGTTGTTCCTGAGAGCTGTTGACGTCATCGTCCGTCGGGTACAGAGGGAGGCGGCCCTTGAGTAGGTCTGGACTCAGGAGCCTGTACCCGTCGGAAGTGCGGTCTGGCGAGATTTACGCGTCCTTAATTCTGCTCTCGACTAGGGAGCGCGCAGCGGGGGGGGACACAAACGTCCTCTCACAACATATGTGAGATGCCGTTTTCTGCACATTGGTCCTTAGCTCGAGAAATTCCGTCCTACCGACAGAAGCCGAAGAAGAACATGTATCACGGTTTTCACATCTCCCAGCGGCGACTCGTGTCTGGGGAAACTGACCACATTTCTTTCGATCCGCAGATCCCCGACGACTTCCTTCCCGAGTTTTCTTCTCCCTAGTCTCGGTATCATCCACACAGCGCGCATGATTTGTCGGGCTAATTCGAGATCGTTTGCCAGTCTCTCCCGGAAAGCGATTCTTTTCCGCGAACACATCTCAGCATCAGAACTCTGCTTTCACTGAGCGCCTATGTATGTGTCCGGACGGGTCGCTACAGTGACTTCAGTCGGGACGAAAATTCGCAACGGCGAAACCGACGACCGGAAAAGCGCGTTCATGGAGGCGTAGACTTCCGCTCGCGAGGTCCATGCATGTGTCTGCTCGCAGGACACTCTGCTGTGTAGACGTACAGTCATTATTACAAAACTATATCTCGCTGGCTCGCCGGACTCGGAGTTTAGGCCGGCCTGTCGACCCAAGCGAATCTAACGGGGATCGATGCGCACTGGCTGAGGATCAGCAGACTGGTCCATGCATCGAGAGTGACTTGAACTCTCACGACCTTTGGGGTCATGACATTTCACTGACTTGTGGGCATAGTCCGCCGCTCATGCTCGGAACAACAGTTTTTCCCCGCTCGATCCTCAATGCTGCCTGTTTTTTCTCTCTCCTGACCGAGTTTGGCACGGTCCTCGCGTGTCTCCATACTCTCGAAGCTTGACGCATTGTGCCCGTCTGGCGTGCCGGCCTCGAAAGTTATGCTACACGTAATAATAGGATATGTGAGGATTACTTACTTTATATAGGGCGTAGGATTGACATATTTGTGGCACGGCTTAAAAAGATCTCCCTTAAGTTTATTGCAGACAGTGTAGTTCCGTTTCCGGTTCTGCTTCGTCATGCAACCGGTCCTATTAGCCGACTGTAGACAGTTCTGACTGTGACCGACCTGGAAAACGGATGAAGACGCTTATACATCGACCGGCTATTTTGATTTGGTGAATCATATCGGGGACAGATCTCGATTCGCGAGAAATCCGGAGCTGGCTACGTTTCGATCTCCTCCCGGAAGCTCTTCCTCATAAGCCTCAGAGCTCCCGAAGAAGACGATACTCACTTTCCACGAGTTACCAAACGTGTTAACATCAGTTTCGATGACACCCTGTTTCGTTGTGTACTCGTCGCCTTGGTTGTCGTTGTAATTTCCACAAAGTCCGCAAAGAGATCCTTTGAGATTCAGAGAAGCGCTCACGTCGACGGAACTATCTCCGTTCCACACCACCTGCAGTCATATGATTAAAGTGAATTCCCCTCGCGATGTAAGGCCGGCTCGCAAAACAATAAGGGCATTGAATCCAATATCGAAACTGATCGCTGAAACCATCCGAGCATCTTAAGCTCCGAGTCTGCGACTCGAAGATAAAGAAGAGATCTCAATGCCCACGGTGCTGCTCTCTGGTTGAACTTACTGTGATGCCTTTTTTCGGCAGCTTTACAACTACATTGTGATTCTCGGGGTAAATGACCGCGTCGCCGAACAGGACGTGGGGGAGTTTGATCCTTTTGCTGAGAATTTTCACCTTCATCATCTGGCCCAAGCGGATCTACAAGGGAATATCCCGCCTTTGAATCCGATCGACAGTCATCGTTGACAGTTTGTTCTCAGGCTTATCAGAAATCAGTGTTGGACAGCAGCTATCCAGAGAAGACTCTTCCGCGTGCTTATCTGCCTTTGTCGCGCGTTCCGAGGGATTCAGAGGGAGAGGGTTAGGCGAATTCATGCAGATAGTCACTGCTCACCTTGAGCTTATCATCGACTTTTATGAGAAGAGCTCGGGTTCGCGCAGAATGCTGCGATGGTCCCCGAGGATCGTTGAATACTTGAACGCTGAAACCGCGTCCACTGTTTCGAGCAGTGGAATTTTTTTGGCACTCATCAGTGACGAGCGTATATCGGCACCGACCCTGGAACCTGTAGAACACGCCGTCGAATGTTCTGTAGTGCGGGTCGCCGAACACGGAGCAGAGGCCATCGCTCTGGAAAGTTTCGAAAATGTTCCCGTTACCGAGTCGCTAAAGTGACTTTCCGCCGGACTCTCGAACCACAAGCGACCAGGCTCGGTACACTGATTGGACACACGGCGGAGTTGAAAAGCGGTCGGACCAGTGCTCAGAGCATCCAGAGATTGAACAGTGGCTCCAAATCATCTCGACCAGAGAAGACCTCCCTCGCAACTCGACGGAGACAGACTTCAGACTACTGAGTGAGGTCATGTGATATGTTGGTCAGAGCGCGCGAGGAGGATATTCTTGTGGACCCTGTATTCCAGATGACCGTCGTTCCTTACCTCGATGCATTTTGGACAACACTCGTTAGGCGGATTGAATTCTTTCTGTCCCGCGGGACATTTCAGCCGCTCGCATCGGGTCTCCTGGCATTCGACCTGTCCTTCATGGCATAAACAGTTGGTGCAACGATCTTTCTTCCAAGAAGTGCCGTTCTGCAACGCAATTTGAATAGCGTCTTATTATTTATTGATGGGAGACGGAAGTTTTCCCGGAGAAAATTCCGAAGTCGAACGCAGCCGCGGTTCTCCACGGCTGAATGCGACGCACCGGAGAGTTTCTTGGAGCTTTTATGCGAATTAGAACCACGAGCACTGAATGGCTGTAAATTTCTCCATTCGGTGAATGAAGTTGGATTGGCAAGAAATTGTCCCAGCAACTCACCATGTACGTTGTTTTGAGGAAGAGGCACTCAGCCTTCTTCTCCTGGTGAGCGCTCCGGCAGCGCAAGCAGCAGGACTGCGGCGACGAGACCTGGTGCTCCGATGGACACTGTAGCTTCGGACATACTGTTCGGTGACACAAGCTGGTTCCGTTCTGTCGTGGAGAAGCATTTCCTGATTATTTTTTGATCTTTGATACAGCGTACACGGTGGAGGGCATTCAGGTCTGTCGGCAGGATTTTTCCGCCGGAGGGAGGGGAGGGGGGCTGGATTGGGCTTGGTACGGGCTTGAGAATCCAAAATGGCGACCCGCTCCCATCCTTTAGCATTACGAACCAAATCCCAGGGGGGCCTATACTTTACCAGACACCAGCGGTGTCATGCCCGAGGACATCGGATTCCAGGAAAACATATGTCGAATGCCTCCGATCCGACAGAGATGAGTCTCCGGTCCGGGACCGAAATCGGAAAAGATGCGCGAGGGACACCATAGGCTCCGAGAACGGGCGTACCGATAGTTCATCATTCATTATATGAATATTCATGGGAGCTAGGATCTCTAAGAGCTGGCGAGGGAGACTTCGAGTGACTGTAATGGTTTTCTGCTCGGCCAAAGTTTAAGTCACTCGAGCGGTGGCCGTAAGGCACAATGGAGAGCGACGCGGCGCCCGGAGCCCCATAAAACTGGAGAACACCCACACAATGGCTTTTCCGAGCGGAAGAGAAAGAAACCAGGTCGGCGAAGGTGGAAAGATATAATCTCTGTCTAGAAGAGAAGTTGACGGCGCACAGGCGCCAAGCCAACCGCCCGAGCATATGCGATCGCTACGAAGATTCTATCGCACGAGGGGTACGAGAGGGATTCTTCAGAAATTCTCGTTGGAGGATCGGAGAGCCTCGTCGAGCCAATCGAGAAACATAAAATGAGTATGCTCCCAATTTGCACGCTGATGCTGTCCCAAGATACCCTCAAGCTGTGGATCTAACAGATTCCTGCGGTCTGAGGATGATTTCCCGTAGTTTCCGAATCGCCCGATTTGGGAATGGGTAGCCGTCCTCGGTGGAGCGCTATTTCTGCTTACATGAGACACGAGTGTCGGCGAGAGATTTCGATTCCGCTCTATGACAATAATTGATCCTCTGAACCTTGATTGATGTTCGGATAAAATCTCTCGCATGAAGCTCGTTCTCTGACTGTGAGGGCAATAATGATTGTCTCTCCGGCTCTCATAAGGCTCTTACTGTGCTTGTGCTTGAGTGAACAATACCTGTCGCGCCATTCGAACACTCTTGTGCATATTGAGGACTCGGGGCAACACTCTCGGAGGGGGCACGTAATCAACACAGTAACGAGCTTGCAACGGCTCGGGTTGTGACTCTCGCGGTTCGGAACATGGCAGTATCAGTGCATCCGTGACGAGCTTCCTCCCAGGATCTCTTCTTTCGAATTCCGAACCGCAGAGCAGAACAAGTATTTCCCTCCTCGAAGCTCCGAAATCGAAATTTTCGAGCCCGGATACACCGCCGAAATGACCCGGTCCGTGTGGTTCTCCGGATACCCTACAGACTATAGAGGGAAGATCCAGGAGAGAGTCCTAGCAATACTCACGGCGCAAGAGCAAGTGGTGCACTGATCCAGAGGAAAGGATCCGTCATAAAAAGCCTCTGCTCCGATGATACATTCTCCTCGGGAACGAGCAACTATTTTCGTTCCTGGAAAAGAGTCAAGGCAATTCATTAGCTCCTTATCGGCGTAGTCCATGCAGGGAGACCCTGTTTGAGTCACCTCTTGCGTCTAAGCCTCACGTGATTAAAAATTCCATGTAAATTCCACGTGAAAAGAGGCAACATGGTGTTTCCATTTTTTTACGCTTATTGAGAGCACGACCAGCGCCTACCGAATCGGAGTTCGGAAATTGTTCCCCATGCTCTGCAGCAGAACAGCGCAAGAATCCGGACGGAGAAGGTCTCCCAGTTAGGGATAGGTCATAGCGGGGAGTTATCGCCCTTGGTACTCGGTGGAAATGCTCGCGAAAAAGTAGAAGTTCAAAATATCTTTTCAGAACCACTGAGTCATTCCGGATACGATTGCGATTGGGATTTGGAATGGTCCCTCTACAGGAAAATTACGCCCTGCGCAACGCAGCGGAAACCCTGGGAGCTTCGAAGTTGCTGGAAAACCGTGGGGACACGTTAGCATTTTGTCAAGGACGAAAGCTCGAAACCGATGATGACGACGGAGAGTACATAGAAGTGGGAGGATTGATTGTCATCGGATGAAACAATGAACAGAGGTCGGACGCGCCACCGTCACTGGCGAAAATAAGTGTTCAAGTCGTCCGGATCGCCAGCGCCGCTGCCAAGCGAGTCGTGGTGGAAAATTATTCTAAATGCAATATCGTGTTTCCTCGTAACATTTCTTCGCCCGGATTTTCTGATCATCTTTCATCTTCGCATTCTCTGTGTTTTCGCAATTACACGTCATGTCGATGAACTACGACGACGAGGATTACTGAAGCGTCGGCGGCGAGAAACGGTCAATACTGATACAGGGCGCGTGTGTTTGTGTCTGTTCTTCGCGCCGCTGCTTGTGATGCATGCAAATTAAGAATTCACGACGCATGAGAAACGCACGTGCATATTGTGCATCCGCGGGCTTGAGGCCAAATTGAATTTTCTGCTATCTCATCTCCCGGAACGCGCGAGCTCAGCGCTCCTCCGCGGCGATTCAGCCGACACGAACGGAAATCCCAATCAGGGAGAAGCAACGACTTATCTCGCTTGGACTTAACCTAAATTTTTCCATCAGTATCGCGCGAAAACGAGTCGACCGGTGGCAAAGCGAAAACATCGGTATGTCGACGCCGCGCCGTTGTGCCTTGCCGCCAGAGCGACGCGATTCTTATTGATACGATTTCGAGAGACGACCCTACAGCAGTGATGCAACAAAACCCGGGTCGAGATCGGAGCTCGAGCGCGGGGGGCGGGGGGACTCCGGGGGCTCGACGAACGCACGGGGCGAAATAATTGAATTTCGTCGTTGGATTTGATGGAGTCGTCAGAGCCCGTCACTAATTCACTTCGATCTGCCCTGATGTTCATCTGAATGTGGACGGATAGAAAATTTTCATTTGTGTTCGCCGCGGGTGGTCTCCGGGGCACCTCAAAAGGGAGTTTATTTTTCCGTCCCGACTTGACGTCCTTCACTTAAGGACTCAGCGGACCTAATGAAACTACTGCTCGTCGAGAGCCCTGGATTGACGTGGACATGAAATCGATGGAGAAAGTTCGTGGAAGAAAAATCAGAAGACGAGCAGAGTCAGCGAGCGAACCCGGGACAATGAGACATGAGAGTGACTCAAGATTGAGAGCTTTTAGTTGGAACAGTGTCTGACAGCAGGATGGAATCGATCGATTCGAAAGAAAACTGAAAACTTTCCGCAAAGTTTCCGCGACACCGCTCGCAGCCAGCGGCGACAATAAACGGCGAACTGAACCGATCAATTCTTAATCGTGGTAGGGGAGAACATCCGATATTCATATGTCCGAGAACTGGGCGTGAGCGAATGAAGGGTCAGTCGAGTTCGCATGGGATTCGCTGACGGTCCCGTGCAGAAGGTTTTCGCACGTCTTTTATCCATGGATATTCGGATGAGAAGACGTCAGAAATGTCGTCTATTTTCGCTGATTTTCTGAAGTCGGGACGATTTACTGTACGGGTGGTCGCGGCGGCTCGTTCGCTCGGCATGTCTTTCAACAGGGGCTTATTTGCTCCAAAATGATGTTCGCCCCATCGCAACATGGAGGCCCTAGGATCTACAGGGATCGGACTTCAGGTCGGTGCGCGGATCAATTGCGACACTCGGATGAAGATTCACATGGAACCGTTTCTGCTTTCGACCCATTTTCTGTTATCCGACGAACATTAGGCTGGCCCACAGGAGAGAGAAGGATGAGAATTCTTTCCGAGGTCGACCAGTCCGCGCCGAACGGTCGAACCTAACCCGGTGGTCTTCGTGATGACTTGCCGAAAGCCTACTCATCGTTTCACCTACTAAGTAGGTGAAAATTCTCGAAGTCCGTACTTGAGGCATAATTTACGATCTGCACATTCTCGAGTCCTCGTTTCTAATCGAAAGACTCCCCGATAAAAGAACGTTCGCCGGAGTTATCAAAGGGTTGGAACAGAGAGATCAGAAAATGCATCGAGGTCTTTTGGTCCCGGGCGAGCATCAGAAAATGGAGAGGAAATCCTTCAACCAATCGACGGAATGGAAAGTTCCCGAGCGTTATGAATCAAATCTGTTTACAACAGGGTCGACGGCGCCAACCAAATCGAAGTTCGAAAGCGTAGGAACTGTGAGAGGAATCTCAAGAGCCTCTCGAGTCGGAACCGTCTTCCAGCGAGTACGTGAGGGAGAGAACACGTGCACAACGTGTTCCTGGTCGAAAGGTGCTCATTGAGTCCAATCTGTGCTGTTTTTCTTGCTGTCCATTTTCCCCAGACAAACATTCCGGAGCCACTCGAGGGAAATCATTCGCTGAGCTCGACACGTACGACTCATTGATTCTAGTGTTCAATATAATTCACGAACGAATCGGCGATTGTTGATCCACTCAATACTTGAAGAAGTCTCCCATCTGACCTTTCAGAATCCTACCACCTGTCTACCACGGAATCTGTGATGTAGATTGCGATACTGAATCAAGGGAGATTAACCCAGTTCATGTTTGGATACAAGCAAAGAGAAACTGATGGAGTAATCCGGGTGTTTCGCCGCGTATGCTTACCTTTGCAAACTGGACAGCAAGATTTCGGTGAGAACACCTGTTTGGCAGAGGGGCATGGAAGGACATTACAGGCCTCTCGTGAGCACGTTATCGTCCCGTTCTGGAAAAAGAGCAACATTTGAGTTCGTTGCCGAGGATTCGGCATGAGCTCTGTGGAAAAAATAAACGAAGGACACCGCGTCAACAATTGAATGTAAGTCGAGAAAATATAGGTAGTTCAAGACAGAGACTCGAGTCGAGATTCTTCTGAACCCAGAATTAGCCGACTCGTAACTTGGCAGCTGAATCACGAGATCGAGACACGTGGTCGCGAATGATTGAGCGGATCAGATGAGAAGAGATCTCGGAATCATAAAACCTAGCGCCAACAAAACCGAGGGCTGCAGCGGTGTGTGAGCAACGAATTTCTAATAGGGTCCTAAGCGATCTATGAGCCGAAACTCCTCTAGTTTTTGTTCGATCGAGCGGTGCCCAGGTTTCGACGGTGGTTCAAGCCGCTGGAAAATTTGATGCTTGCCATCCGTCCATCGGTCCGTCGCTCGGTCTATGATCGGTCTCGCGTCTTTCAACACGACCGGCGCGTTTACATTCGGCTCGGGTTGGGCAGAGTTCGTTTTTCCCTATCTTCGTTTTCTAGGACCATCTCCGGGAGGAGAGACCGGCCGCCTCAGACAACTGGTCGATGTTTGCCGGAACACAGAACCAGCCGAAAGATGATAGAGATAGATGGGAGTGAGAAGCATTGAGAGACCTTTTGGAGTTTTATATGACTCACTCCTCCTCGTCTGATACACTACGGACAGGCTAATATGATATGGACGCCGTGGCAAACTGAAAACGGGGACGATACCGGCCGCGAGAATTATCCCGAAAAAATGGAAACCCGCTCACGACTCGAGTAGCTCGCCGCCATTTCGGAGTCGGCGAAAATCCCGGGGCGAATGCGGGTCCCTCGGTCTTCGGAAATTTCTGCCGGAATCAATTCTGATGCGCGTTTGTCAAGTCTCCCACGCGCCTTGACGGCTCAGCGGCGCATTACGGAACGATCTGCTGCTGCTCCTGTCGGCAATGATATTGTCTGTTCCGTGCAACGACGTAACCAACGACGCAACGCTGATCAGCGAGAAGGATTTTGCAAAGTGCAAAACATTCGCTTTTCGTCCGCCGTCGGAACGAATCTGGCCTCTAGCCAAACAGCTGTCCGACGCCCGCCGTCAATCGGCCGGAGTTTGCTTCCTCGCACATTGTTGCCAATCGCTCGTTTTCTCCTCGGGTCGGCGTGTTCAGCTTCCGTCGAAAATCGCTTCTCGAATCGACCGCGGAATCCTCATCGTCGGTTGAATTTTCCACTCCCAAACACCGAGAAAATCGATCCCTAACCGTGATCGACGACGTAGTCCCATAGCCAAGAACGTCTCCAGCTCGCGGATATTTCCGGGACGTGGAAACGTGCGGCTTTTCCAGGGTGAGCTCCGGTGGATCATGAGAGCTGTCGAGGCCGGAAATTATGGCGGTCAAGGCGACGGAAACGACAGGCGCGAACGCGAGTGTACAAATGACGGACAGCCTGTCACTGGCGATGTGATCTTTCGCTCGACGCTCCAAAAACGTTCAGCCGCTGCTCTTCCGTCTGTTGCTCGCCACTACTCAAGAAATTAAGTCCCTGGAACTTACAGGAGCCGAGCTTGGAGCTCGACGCTCCCGGAGAATAGGTTATGTGAGCTATCATCCCGCGAGGGGAAAAAATAGGGACCCCGTACAGGCTATTCCGCCCCCGCGTATCGCTCCTCGTGTAACCGGGGCCTCATGGCCGATCAGGAAATGGCATAGACGTGGCTCTATCATAATTATTCTACACAAATGGAGATGTGTATTCGCAGGATTCAACTCGGAAATCGAGGATGGAATCTCGTGTTTCGCGCGGAAAGATTCGAAATCATCTCCAAGGGTTTACCGATTGCACAAGTTCCTCTCGAAGCTCCACGGAGCCAGGACGTTGGAGAAGGGTGGAGGGATCGAGGCCGATTCCGACAGGAGCGTCTCCTCATATTCGTATACCTATATATTGCTCGAAATTAGTTACCTTGCAGGAGCAAGAAAGACACGGATCCGTGGGTGCCGTGAAATTTGTTCCTTCTGCGTACTCGTGCCCGTCTAGCGAACAACCTGCAATGAAGCGGAAATGCGCGCCCTTATTGAGAGTTCTCGACGCTTCGCACGCCACGTACTCGGTATTTTGCATTGAAAATCAGATCACGCAGGTTGCGGCCACCGATTTAGTCGGCAGCACGTGCATGTTCCGAATATTTTCAGAGCGTCCTCATATACACTCGCATGGAGATTCGAAGTAGGTGCTTCGATTGCTTCGATTCGGGCCCGACTGATGGCTCGAGACTCTTTCCAGAGGAGGCTCTTGCTGGTCTTTGGATGAGTCAGGTCGCCGAGAGTTGTTTCGAAGCCCAAAACCCTCAACGAAAAAAATGTCACCAAGGAGATCATAGACGGCAGGAAGGAAGGTATGTTGTCGCGGGAGGCATTGACAACGACAGAACTGCGAGAGAACTCAGCGAAGGGGAGGCACGGCTAACGACGTCGAGACGACGACGACGACGACAACACCAAAGGGCAGAGAGATATCATCACGAGCGAAGGGTTGAGAAAATGGAAAAATTGCGGCAGTTCTAGGACGCCTCGGTCCAGGGAATCGTTGGTTGGATTGTGCTCGAGGGCGAGCATCGCAGAAAGCGGTGCTCTGAATCACCTCGCTGAAAGAGGTCCCGTCAGAGACTCCTGTCTTGCTTCAGTGGCTTCAAAGGATACCATCTCTCGCTTTTGACGGAGCCGGAGAGTGTTTCTGGTCGACATCAAAGCGAGCAACAGGATGATGATTGCACACCAAACAGGAAATCAGCCGACTGACGCCGGCCGGAGGGTTGCTCGAGCGGGGCAGGAGGATGGACTGATACCTTGCTTCCTGAAGCGGAGCCGCGTCGGGGGCACGATGGCACAGGAAGGCAAGTAACTGGGTTTCCTCTCGCCGAAATTAGTTCTCCCTAGAAGCACTTGAGTGAAGTCGGAGGTGATCAAGAGAACTCTTGTGTTGTGTTTCGGAAATTGGAAGAGAGCCTCCAGGAGTACCACTTCTCTTTATTTTCGGAATCAGCCACTGCGTCCGAGTGCGCTCGAGATAAGGCCCCAGCACCAGCAAAGACAGTCCAGGACACTCGCGGAGGATGAAACTCGAATCTTCGAGAGAACTCCTTTCGATTGGGGGAGCCCCCGACGCCTTTCCTCAAGTCTCGAGGGGAAAATTCTCCCGAAGATCCAAATCATAAGATGAGCCTCATCCCATCGAATTTATGAAATACCACAAGAAGACTCAGTCCGAATTCCGTCGCTGCGTCCCATTCTCTGCCAACGTCCACCGATTACACGGTGAGGAAAGAGTTAGGACTTGCCGAGTCCGAGCGAGATTTTGAGCGAAACGAAAATATGCCCGGCAGCGTGACATCAGCCGACCGTGCGGCGGATGGACCGACCGCGCACCGCCCATCAGCTCTGGGCTCGATTAATGCAGTGGAAGTGATTCGGAAATGAAGTGTATATATCTATTATCCGAAGCGACCGACGCCAAGCAGGCCTGTGCTTAATTATCTCGAGAGCGATCTGTGCGTGAATGCTCGGAGCTCTGAGTGGCTACTTGAGCTAACTTTGCTTCGGCCCACATAGCCCATGCACAATAATTATGTACGACCTTTACGGCCAAAGGCGGAGGGCGCCGCTCCCGTTCGAGTGCGTACACACTCCTGACCTGAGTCTCCGGCCCCTCGTCTCGATTGTCACTTTTAGATATATGGTTCCCAATCATTGAAAGAGCATATCCGGCTCACGGTGAAGAGCTTGAAGGATATTTTCAGAAAAAATGTCCGTCCAAGACGAGAGAACTTCTCCTGGCGAATCGAAATTGACCTAGAACTTCTGGGATCGGAACGAAAAACTCGTTTTTGACCATAAGATTTTCCCGAGAACATAACACGTGCACGGTCACGGAAACGATCCTCTGGAAACACGCTTGACTTTCCGTGCGGAGTTCCGCCGTACTTCCAGCCAGCTAAACCTTCAATGAGCCGAGAGCTGGGAGGTCGATCGTGTTCTTGGAAACAGCGGCACACATTGTCACAGTCCGGTCGTACGTGGCGAGAAATTGATTTCACCTTACGGAAATGCAAGTTCGCGCAGAGGATGATCTCTTGCTGCTCGATGGCAAGGGAGGCTGCTGGACTGGATCTTCGCGCACGACATCGGAGGATGTAAGTTCTTCATGGAACGCTCACAGAAGATGACGCTCACAGAAGAGAAGAACAAAAGGTTCGAAATCAAAATCGAATCTGAAAATGGCGGCGACTCGGAAGCGACAGGAATATCCGGCAGCTCAATTTTCGACTCTCCGGCATTTCACTGACTGAGTGCGGGATATGTACTGGAACTTCCTCCACCATTGCAAAACGTGAGAAATAAACTACTGTGAAAATTATCGATGTTGCGGCTGCACAGGGAGAGCCCGCTTCATTCGTGGACCCAGCCCTGAGTCAATTTGTCCATGACAGACGAGTTTCATTGATTTGACCGTCCTCTCAGGGACACCGATCCGCTGTGAACGAGAGTCGCCTTGAGGGAAACTCTAAGATACCAAAGTGGGACTGACCTTGACAAGATGGGCAACATTGTCCTGGTCTGGGAGGTATGGGGTTCTCACAAGGTGTATGACATTCTTCTCGAAATTTCGTGATGATACCGGACTGTAAAGAAGACCCTGGCGTTAGGAGACCCGGAAAGTCTAGCAGAGAAAGAAGTCTATTGAGGCGGCCCTTAGATCTCGGACCTCGGCCGAATTAGCCGAATACAGCAGGCACCGGAATGATATAATGCGAATGACTCAGCGAGGAAAAAGAGCTAGAGGGTTTCATCGCGAGGGAGCTGTACGGAGCGTTCTCTCCCGGGATCGGTATATTTCTCTGTCAGGGTGGAATCGCCCTCGGACATTTTCTCGTGCTTTCGTTCCGACTTCGAGTCCGATTTTCAAAGAACGTGCTCGTCCGAAATCTCGAGACAGTTCCTGGGAAAGCCACCTGACCGAAGCCTTGGCGCTCGGGCCGGGGATTATTATTTACGCCTACTGTAAATATTGTTAACTAATAATTTACGCAGGATAGAGATGATGGAGGGAAGACTGCGGAGATCGAGTAAACAAGAAGCCATTTTGGTTCATAATAGAGTCGGCCGAAATAACCTCAAAGTCTTGTCGAGCCACTGCGCGTTCTGCCTGCGTGGAGAAGCACAGTGGCCTCTTGACGAAATCGGAAGCCTCACCTGACAGGAGAATCGTAGACATGAATCCCTGGGGTCGGTCCATGTCGACGACGAAGTATGAGTTGTGCCGTTGAGCACGCAATCTGGGGTAGGAAGGGATTGGATTTCCATTTAATTCGCGAAAGTTCTTACAAACAGTTGCCTACTCTAAATCATATATGTACATATCTGTCCGTGATGGGAGTCAGAGACCTTGTGGAAAATAGGAGGAAGAGAGAAACTCACCTCTACACGATAAACAGCATGATTTTTTACCGAGTTTCTCTTGGAGCAAGAAACAATTATTGGGCACCTCGCACAGGGCCCTTTGGCAGACGACTTTCCCTCTCTGTAATCAAAAATGGAATCTGGTTGAAATTTCCGTCCAAGACGTCCCTTATCGGAACGATACGGTCGTGGGTAACGAGCGAAATTTCATCAGACGAAACCTCTGGAGAAATGGAGCATTCGGCGCAAATCCGGAAATCACAAGAGTTCTCGAACTTCCCTGCGAGCAATACATATCCGGGAATCTCGCACAAGTTTTCTTTGCTCGGTCTTTTTTCTCCTTCTTCTCCACTCAGATGAGTGCGCGGAAATTCTCCGCACTCATCGAAGTCTCCTTCAAGTTGAAGACGATCGTCGTGATCTCTGCTCTTCCCGTGGCATACCCCTTTCGTCTTCTGGGCTTCCCGGGAAATCGGTACACTCCAGATTCTAATTCCGAGACGATTGGGCCGCCCCGGGAGATTCTGTCAAGAGACAATAATTAACTCCTCTTCGGCAACTGAGAGACAATTGAATTCTCCCAATGCGGAAGGAGTAAACCCAAAAGCTCGTCAACTTCCAGCGCGGTGGATATTTCTCTATACAGTCAAGTGCCGCTAACTTGTAAAATTCGGGAGTAGGGTTTGAATATTTTTTCTAACTTATAAGTTAGGGGAGGGTCAATCTAGACCGGATTAATTCGGACAGATGCGCGCTGATTATTATCTGCCTCCATGAATGTAGGCATAAAATTGACGATAGTGATCATGAACGGATATCTGCTTTAATTTATTCCATCTTCTCCATGCGGATTTACGTTTTTAACTTATGGAGAGTCCTGACTATGTACCGTACTCAGTTTCTACTATCTACCGTTCCGAACAAAGTCAGTCCCCATCAATACAATTCTCGTCTTCAAAATACAACCAAACAACTAAGGCTTCGATTTCGAAAAATAATATCGAAGATCTGCCTGTCTTTTTCCTGTAGAATGTCACAAATAACAAGATCTCGATACTGATGTAGAGCCCTGCTGATCCCTGGAACAATATTTTGTCTCTGAGAGCAATGGTTGACCAATGTAGCCAAGGCTCGGAGAGCCTCTTGGCCGGTCACGAAACCACAACTGGGCTCCTCGAAGGGGGACCCGGGTTCTTCATCCGAGGTTTCGCTGAGGACCTCATTGTGTTCAGGCTCGAAATCATCGGAAGTCACAAGTTGCCGATCAGCCTGAACGAAGTCCCCGAAAGTCATGGAAATGGGGAAACAGTCTCGGATAATCATTCGATCCGGTTCGTCTATGTCATCGCTGTTCTCACTTTGAGCGCTGGCATTCCGAACGTTCGGGAGGCATTTCTTGAAGCAGTTGAATATGGTGGAAGTTTTGACATCATCCCATGACTCTCTCAGGAACCGGATACCCTGGAGCAAATTTATTTCCTTCACTTGACCGTCCTGTGCCATGGCCCAGTAATGTTCGACCAGCTTTTTTTTGTACAACTGTTTCACGTTACAAATGATGCCCTGGTCCATGGGCTGCGATTTCGATGTGGTCCTCGGAGGAAGAAAGAGAATCTTGACGTGATTGAGTTCGATATCCACCTCATGACCTTTGAAGTTGTCCAGGAGCAGAAGTACTCGGCGTTTCTGCTTCCTGAAATCTCCCTCAATCTTCAAGAGCCACTCGGTGAAGATCGCTGTATCCATCCATGCCCTTTTCTGCGATCGATAGTGGCAACCCAGCTTCGCGCTGTCATGGAAGGCTTCGCGCTTCGCCAATTTCGGAAAACATCGGGGGTTTCTACTGTGACCAATCACCAAGGGCAGCAATTTTTCGGTGCCCGCGAAGTTTGCACAGAGCAAAACCGTGAACCGATCTTTCGCTTGTTCTCCACCATGACAGGCTTCTCCTTTGAAATGTACCGTCCGATTCGGCATCATTTTGTAGAGAAACCTGTCTCGTCCGCGTTGAATATGTCTTCACAGGAGTAATCGTTCAGGATCCCTTCATTGTTCTCCAGCCATTGGTTCACGTCCTCTTGATTGACCTTGGCTGCCTCGCCACATGTTCGCTTTGACGATAAGCGGTGACGCTGCTTGAAACCCTCCAACCATTTGTTCGAAGCTTTGAAATCGGAGTCGCCTTGCTCTGCTGCTAGGGACTTAGCTTTCTCCTGGAGCCATGATGAAGAAATCGGCAGGGTAGGATTGGACGCACGAGCTTCTCTGAAGGTTTTGAAGAGAGCAGACTCGACATCTCCGAATTTCGACTTCCTGAACCGCTTGCATTTCGCGCTTCGTCTCAGAGCCGCTTGTGCTCGTATCGTCTCGGCATCTCGCTTGATATTGTATAGCGTAGTCTGGGAGATCTTCCAATCTCTTCTTACGTCGAGCTTACTTCTACCTGCTTCGAGTTCTCCCAGAACTTCCACTTTGTCTTTCAAACTTAAGTTCGTGTTGGTGGGCATGGTCCTCACTCCCTCCCTTCACCGAAACTGGCCACAAAAGTAGCTGACAGAAGCTCACGCACGACGAACATCAGACAGAAGCACGTGTGCATTGAGACGTCATAGTCATGTTGGTTGAACCGACGGGTGGTCGAGTGGTTAGCGCTTTTGTCGCTACTCGTGCGAACGTGCATAGCCGCAACGACGCCGCTCGCGCGGAAGGCGGTGTGGGTTCGATCCCTGCTGCCGGAAAAATATTCCTTACGGAAACGCAGGTACTCGGCCTCGATCCTCCTGGGTACATTTTTGCTCTATGGATCCGTCCTCGGAAGCAATGTGAATAACAGTACCCGGGACGTTAAACCTTGGCTGTGTGGATCATTTTTCCGCGCTTTACAACTTAGGGCGGCGAAATCGTTCCAAATTATGAGTTAGAGGAGGTTTTATAAGTTAGAGGAGAGAGTCAACACGGGGTCTATGCTTTTACTTAGCAAACCATAAGAAAAGCGACTCTAAATTATAAGTTAGAGGAGTTTTCCAACTTATAGGAGCTCCAACTTAGCGGCACTTGACTGTAATTGAAGCTGGAATCCACCGCGGGACATCTTCACTGCGGAATCAATCCAAATGTTTCTGTCACGCAACGGATGATTCCGACGGCTCTTCCTTGCTCTATCCTGAGCCTTATCCGCCTCGTTCTCATCCTAGGATCTCTGAGGGCAAACCTCCCGATTCGCTCATAGGCGGGGAGGATTCGAGTAGTCTTCCCAATCATCAAGCAGAAGCGACTTGTTGACTACTAGTTGATGATAATTGAATCCAGGAATGGAATGAATGCAATTCATGCGTCTAGATGATGCGGAGGTGGGCGATACCGGCGGCGCAAGTTCTTCAGAATCCGACCAAAATATAATCTCTCCAACGCGAAGTCCATCAAACTTCCCACGCTGGTGGCCCTCAGGCGCCAATGAGGTCAAAGAGATAATCGAGCGACGACAGACAACACTTTCAGCGAACCCTTTTCCGAAGGGTTTGATCTTACACGATGGCAGCCCCATGATTGGATCCGCAAAAGATTGATTGTTCGTTGATTCTCTGATATTTTGGGCTGCCCATGCAGTATTGGTCCTCTCAGTGCTCCTTTCGACCCGAAATTTCGTCTCCTCGGAAAATTTCGAAGGGAGTCTCATAAGACGATGTTCCATTCGACTCCACCGTGGACCCGCTTCTGGCTGCGCAACATGGAGTAGGAGCTTCCCAATCGCCGAAGCGCGAATTAAAGAATGCTCTTCGCAGAGAATACCATGGTGGTGTCTTATCGTTGACACACACGTCGTGGGTAGTAGTGGCGACAGCAGATACAAATCATGTCAGGATTGACGAGTATCAGTCTGGCAGTCGGCTCCTTTCGGAAACTTCATCTATTAGTTTCCAACCGACGAGAAAAACTCGTTTAGACGCAAACTAAGAATCGGCCGGCAGAATCTGGGGGTGTGTTGCAATATATAATTGGTTCTGCTTTGCCCGCTCCCCGGTCTTTTTTTTCCGTAGATCCGAGATCTGTTATTTCTCCATCTCGCCGTCCTCAACAGTCGAGGGTTTCAACGCTCCTGGAAATACATTTCATCCACGTCCCGCTAAATACCGAAGCGAAACGTGTGCGGCCCACGGAATTCTGAAAGTTGCGGAATTGTTTCAAAATTTGTAGTGCTTTATTCTAGTGTTCCGTCAGTGCGATGGGCTCTCGAAGAGTGGAAGATCGATCGGTTTCGAGTGGCTACTCGTTCAACGCTTGCATGCGCTGCACTTCACTAAGACGTTTCTGGGCTCGGAATGTGATTGGATCAGAAATTGAAACTATCCAAAAACCACGGGGAAACCGCGCTGGGCCAAATCAACAGGACCACGGCATCCAGCGGCGTTCGCCGGAAGAATAGAATCTCGAGCAGAGAAGAGCTCGTGCGGGTCCTTCCTTTGCATACGCTTCCTCCGTTGCTGCACAGCCGGCGAACGAGGTTCTGCGCGTTCCCTTGCTCAATAGAGCGGGCTTTGTTCGAATTCTCAAGCCGACGATTGAGCTTTTCTGCTTGAAAAGAAACTTCTGAAGCGTTCGTGGCCCCTCCCACCTGGACAATCTCCATATTATTGACATGGCTGACCTTCCTATACTCAAACGCCCATTTCCAACATATCGTAATTTCCTAAAGACTCCAATACTCCAATTTTGAAGGCCGACGACGGGGTATTCGATGTACGAAATTATTCTAAGCAGAAAATTCGTCAGTTTCCCCGGTAAGTATCTGGAGTCGATTGAGGGGGGCGATTACCGGCTCAAGCGCGGGAATTGAACTGTTGTACTTGACGAGTATTTGGCAGACAAACGTCCCAGAGCGAGGAGCCATGACAATTTTGATCAAGGAGGAAATCATTCAGCCACGACGAACTCGATCGCTGGATACGGCAAGACATTCTCACTCGGCCCAGCTTCGTTTATGTTTCACGCAATTATTGATACTTGGATGGATAGGAGGCGATGCGCTCCGCCGATCTCGCGCATGGAGCAAGCGGATGAAAATTTTCTTCCTCCGACACAAGTTCGCCCCGGATACACGCCAAAGAAAAATTAGGAACTCGGCGAGAAATTATTGGAAAAAATGCTAGACGCGGTTGAGTGAAGTGCTCCGAACCGAGCCGGCAAGCCGACCTTCGAAAATTGGTAGCGTCATGGTAAGCACGAAGTCGGAACGAGGGAGATTCTCACGAGAAAGAACATGAACACACGAATCGACCGAGAGTCTTTCCAATGGAA